ATAAATTACGCTACGCGTATTCTCGGGGGAAAAAGAAGAACGTGATGCGATCCGTATAGGTGAGGTGCCCGAGAAATGTCGATCTCAAGGACAGAGAGATTGCATCGAAAGGAAAGGATCCCGTGGTGTGAAGCCAAGAGGCGAGTGGCGCGAACAAGTTCGCTTCGAGACCGATGGGTAATCGTGCGCGGAAAAACGATCGATTGACCGGCAAATGTCCGATATCTAATTGGCGGCGCGCGAAATTGACGGTCTTTGCGCGCGCTGATCCGCGGCTGTTCCATTACACGTCATTATTGTTGCGACAGGCGGCTCGCGGGGATCGATTTCGCAAGAAACGCGCGCGCGAACTTTTATCCGCGCGCGAACGGCCTTGCCTTTTCGCATCGCGCACGTCGCAGCCGCTGTCGTGTCGTGTCGTGTCGATGTGTAGGTGTCACTTGCTTTTTCCCGCCTTGAAAAACCTTTCACTGTTTTGCGCACCTACATACGTACAGACACGTAGTAGACGGCCGCGTTAGATCATTGCTACAAAGCTAGAGAAATCCTGGGGAGCGGTGTGTAACTTGCTTCATATACTCGTAGAACTTAGCACGAGCGAGTGGATTCCATTTCGATCGCGTCGCCGTACCTATAGGGTGTTGCGGAGTCGCCGGATGTATTACGCACTATTATTGTTGCGACGTGGATAATTGCTTAAAATTCACATACGAGTGGATCAAGCCTTGCCTCGGATATATCGTGTGACGACATATCGACAAAGCGAACGCAGCCTCGTGGTTTGCGAGGAACTTAATTAAGATATGTGGCTGATCTACCACGACGATGTTGCAGTCTTCTCGCAGCTTTCTTAATCTGGGAATAGTCACCTGGGATATTTTTACATCTCAGTTGTGAAAAAGTGTGAAACGTTGTCAAATATTGTTTTAATTATTGTTAAATGGATGTTATTTAACATATTTTTTTTTTAACCACTGTTCTTTACGAACCTTTATAAATGCAATTCAAAAATCCGTAATAAATAAATATTATATTAATAAAATCTTTATTCTTTTACAAATATCGTCACAATAAGCTCAAGCGCTCGCAAACGCTTAGTGTGTTTATTCTATTTAATATTCGTTTGGTTTCTATTTGTTCAGAAATTGTGGTTAAATCCTATATCTATAATGCTCTTAAATAGTTATAGAAACAATACCGAAAATACAAACAATAATATACAATACGTTGTTAATAATAATGATTTTAATTGGATGTAAAGTAACAACACTCAGGTGATCATTTACGTAAAAAGAGAGCAGTGACGGCTACCGAGTTAACGTTTGTCTCCAGTAATTCCGCTGATACTTAGAGACGCCAACTTGTTTAATGAAATACGAAAGTTTTGTGCAACATGTACTTCTTTCCTCACTTTCAAATCGATTTTTAACCATTGTTGTTGCGCCGGATTAAATACACCGGATCTTTTTAATCAGTCGCCAGACGTTCTTTACAAATGCTAATTACGTCAACGACGGTCCGGTCTGCGCTAATTAGGAAATAATTGTGTCAATCCTGCAGACTTAAAAAAGAGGATGCCTTTAATTTTGAAGTGAACCTTTTCCCTTCATCCTTGTTTGAAATAGTTCTGTGAATCTCGACCTCTCTTTTCTCCCCCTCCCACAGCTTTTTTTCTGATACGTTGCATTGATTCTACATCGAGCAGCATGCCGATACATCATTGATTTTTAATCATTGTATTAAAACTTGTTACCGTTTTGTTTCATTAATCATGTGTCATTGGCGCGATGCTTATTGACGAAGTTTCAATGAAAATTCTGTTATTGTTACATTTGTTACGCCGTGTTGCAATTTCAGCAACGTACAACCATTACATACTTGGCAAAAGTATATGTAATCAAACAGCAAACAAACATCCGTATTTGCATCCGGACGCGATACGCTCTAGTTCTGTACTTCTATTTACATTTACCCTCACATTTATCATCTAATTTCCTAGTATCATATTTTAGTAGAGAAATAGAACTACGCTTGTAATGTACTTTGTCACACAGTTGACACGGGAAGTATATTGAATTAAACATATTTAGTAACGTATGTATAAATTTAGAGAGAGATGAGTAGATTTAAGTATTTGAAAATATTCTTCTGTTTATTTATATAAATGTCTCTTAAGAAATCTTTGATTAACATTCTACTTGTAAGTTTTATCCGATATCAATACATCTTACATCAACGTTAAATTTATCCCCCTTAATCGTATACATTAATTATACATCGATCGTATATCTAGCACGGTGCACTGCTGCTTAGAACTCCGCTCAGATTTCCGAGAAAATGCTTGTTCCACCTCGTTGTTCGCGCATTGTCGTAGAAACGCGGCAAACTTTCATAGAGAACACCTCGATAGCTATCCCGATACCGTGCCTCGAACACTGGCCGCAGAAACTGACCTTCAACTCTCGCCGATCCCTCCGACAAATCAACTCGTTTGGAGTTTCAACAGCCAATTCTAGGAATAATCATCGCACCTAGGAATAATCGTCGCGTTCACCCACGTTTCTCGCGAGTCATGACTGTAAAATCATTCTCTCCCTGCCCCTCCCCCTCGCAACGCCGCCTAATTCACTTCATCGAGCACTTTGATTTTTCACGAATGCGCCATCGACGGACGCTTCGTTTCATCGTAGCCATTTTTCTTTTGAGTTGCCATTCCCTACCCTGTTCCTACTTTCTGTTACAGATCTCATATCATCTATAGGCACCGCGTTCATTTGGTAACGACGAGGATGTAGCCCATGTGAGGGCTTTTCAACGAGAGCGAACCGCACGAATTTCAAGTCAAGACGACGACGATGATGATGCGCGCGATACAGGGAGGAGGAATTGACCGAGGGAAGAACAGGTCAGCGTAGAAGAAAGAAGGAGAGAGAGAGAGAGAGAGAGAGAGAGATTCCTCTTTGCTTACTCGCGAGAGAACACGCCGGATGTTATCGCGAGACTGATAAAAACACTGCCAGGAGTAATGACGAGCTAGATTGCCGCTTCGTCCACTGAACCGTTCCTTGGTCGATCTTAGCTTTTGCTCCTCGCTAACTGCCCCCCTTCCTGCCAGTCCCTCTTCGTGTCAGTCCTGCCTTCATCACGTATACACGAACACGCTTATATTAATACACACACACGCACACACACACACACACGTTCTCTCTCCCTCGAGAGATCAAAGACTGAAAATAAAAGGTGGCGACATGTTGGGCGTGAGTCAGCCGGGCAACACGCCCTCGAGCTTGCGGCACTCGGCGAGCTTCTCGTGCTTGCAACGCGGCACCGCCGGCGAGGGTCATCGCGCGAGGACCTCAACATTGCTGCAACAGCCGAGTCTACAACTGAGCAACGGTCATCATCAGTACACGTCCAGCGGCCAGGCGGCGGCAGCTGCGGCTGCGGCGGCCGCGCATTGCTCCCTCCTGCAGCATCACCAGCAACAGTCCCGCGAACCGTTTGATCCCGTCCTTCAGGACGGCAACGATTACGGCTTCGTGCGGATCCGACCACGGTTGCGCAGCACGAATGCAACCTTGTATCACGAGGAGGAGGTGGCGGCCGCGAAGAACGCCCTGAGGGAACAGCGCGACGCCGCTGCGTTTAGCGACCGAGAATGCGATTCGAATTTCAGGGACTGCCCGTTGAAAGTCAAGGATCACCGAGACCTCTCGCCGAAGGGAACGGCCGCCAAGAACCAGAATCCATTACGGGGCGCGTTAATCCTTTTCACTTCGACATCGTCCTGGTGGAAGGCCCGACAACGGGAGGAACAGCTAAATGCAACTGCCGGTGCCACTGCCGCTATCAGCGCACCGTCCTCGGAGCGGAAGTGGTCGGGTACTTCGATGGCGTCGCCCTCGAACGAGAGAAAGTGGCCGTCCTCGATGACGTCGCCTACGAACGAACGGAAGTGGTCCGTGGGTAACAGCCTGTTGACGTCACCGTCGAACGAGAGGAAGTGGAACAGATCCTCGGTTTCATCCACGTCGACGAACCAACAGGATCGGAAATGGCGATCCCTTGGCGCACTTTTAAGGACTCCCGTCGGAGCAGCTAGCGGTAGCTCTCACGTCAGCCAGAATTCCCTGTCTCATAACATGAGCGTGTCCATGATCGAGAGCGATCACTTCCGCGAGGAATCGCGAGGGTCGAGCTGTAAGACGCGCTACCAACAACCGACATCCTACTCCGCACGAGTATCCCGTGCCAGTAGAGACGTTTACCGGGAGAACGGAGAGTTTGGTCAAATTGCTAGCAAGTCGAAGGTCAGCCGCAGGTTGTACCAAGATAGCGAACCGACACTCGAGCTCGACGAGAGACACGCTACGCAGCGTAACCGACATCATCAGCTGGACGATCCCGAGCAATGCAGGGGCATTAGAGAAGGACGCGATCATTGCAGAGCTGCGGAACAGAGCGCTGTGGAGACTCGCGGCCTCCCCACGACCTCCGCCGCGCGATCGAGCCGCGCGCAAAGCTTTTATCTTCTGGACGACTTCCTGCGGCCGCAGCCGCAGCAGCCGAGCAACAAGTGCATGTTGAATCTGTACATGTCCCCGTCGCACGCCGTCAAATGCGGCAACGAGCACGGCAGGTCGTGCGAGGTTAGGCAGGCGAGCTGCCAGCAGGCGAACGTCAGCCATATTAGCAGCAACATTACGCCGCCGCGACGCCACAACTCGAGCTCGGACAGCCTCGAAGTGGCCACCAGTCCGCTGCCGCCGCCGGTGCCGCCGCCGCCGCCGCCGCCACATCAGGCCGCCGGTAACGGTGCGCGGGACCGCGAACGGAATGAGAACCCGAAGGAGCCGAGTAAGGACGTGTGCCCGTGCAAACTATGCTGGACCAATATGCAGAGATCTCTTGTGGAAGAGGTAAGTCAAGTCGTCCCCCTCGAGGGAGGTGCGCCGGACAATAATTGAGTCGTTCGTCACGCCGCGTACTCCACGCTCGGAGATCCGCGGGAGATTCCGCTTGAGAAATGAGGCTATGATTAAGGGACTTTGACAAAGGATCGCGTTGGACGCAGGTCGCCGTCCCCCCGTCTGGCCGATTCGTTACACGTACGAACGTACAGCTCGTCTCCGAGCCAATCTCGTTCGTACGCATACCCTTTTACACATACATTTATTCTTAAGTAAAGCGGTAAAGTTCACATTTTAATAGTCAATTTTAATGAGGGATTATTGAATTCTGACATCCTTTTTAGATATAGTTCTTAGACGTTTGCATCGTTGGAAGATATATTATCAGTATGAAATAAAGCTGTGAATATACATACGGAAAAATACATACTGTACACAAATAATATTTATTTGTTTCAAAATATATTCTGTATTTCAAAAGTACATTCATACATGCTCACAAAATTTATTCAAAATATATTCTGAATCCTAGTAAGTTTAATATTTCAAGAAGATACTGTATATTCAAGATAATACTGAAGATTAAATTAAAATTAGATTTGCTTATTATATGAAATCGCTTTTTTCATCAATTTTATAATTTCTTTAAAAAAAAAGTAAATTCTTGTTTTAATACACAATAATGGGTTTTATACAATTTCTAATAAGTATATTTTAAGATTACTATCAAGAAAATATTCTTTGTTAGAGAGAACCGTTACTTAAAGGAAGAAAGTAAATCGAATATAATCACTTTTCTTAGTAATAGAATAATATTTTTCTTATATATTATATATATGTGTATGTAAGTTATATATGTACGTAAGAAATTTTGCTTACGACTCTTTCGTACAATTTCAAGTCGATTTTCTTTTAACGAAAATACCGGTACATATGTATACGGTTATGAAATTACGTAAAACATGAACGAGCAACGAGAAATGTTATTTTTTGGTGTAATTTCAACGAATCTGACTTTAACAGAAATTTAATTTGCGGCTTAATATCGTTGAGATATCTAACGTTAAAGACTATAAAGTAAGGAAATACTTGTTCGGATATTTAGCGGAATTCCCCCTGAAAGAAATCGATACGTCTGAAGGAGAAACCGAATAAGCGACACGGCATTTCGCCTGGACAGGGAATTGGCCGGCTCGTTGAATTTTATCGTAATCGTTATCCAGGATGTTTATGTCGCGGCGAGTAACTTTCACCCCGGCGTGCGCCACGACTCCGCGATCGCGCGAAGATAGACGTCCGGTCGCGAGAAGGTCGTCAGAAAAATCTCCCCCAGAGAGAAGGAAGGAGAATCGACTATCCTCGACTATCCTCGACTATCCGGTCGCGTCGACGTATTTCTTTGCCGGACGACTCGCCATTAACTCGCCTTTAACCCACGTTTCGCGCCGTTCGCCACGCCGAAACGACCGATCGTAACGCCTCTGTCAGGATCCCGCTTTTACGACCGTTTGCGTGATCGGTAAAGCACAATTCGATAGAGACGACGACGGGATTCCCCGCTTCGTGGAAACACGCCGTAGTTAGCAGAGAGTTCGATCGGAGAAAGACGAGTCGAAGAGTTTAATCAAGAGCGGGTGGCTTCATAAAGTAGCATCTTACCTGTCTTATAAATTAATTTTCATGATCCCAAGGTAAGACTCGCACGGCCTCCGTGCTTCGACGTGTATAATTTATTGTATTGTATTATCTAGATTGTATTATCACACAGATACAAAATTTTGTAAAAGAAATTTAGGGATTCTTTCTAACGGGATAAGAAATCGTCGGAATTGTTTGAATATTGCTAAATTTATTGTTAAACTTTCGACCGATAACTTTCGAAGCTGAGAGATTCGCGAAGTAGCATCGAAGATCGCGATGTCGCGCGATAAACGCGGTTTATTGGGAGATTCCATCGAGCTCTTATCTTGCGTGAAAGGCAACGCGATTACATTGATCAGCAATCGTTGGACAAGAATTCGCGTCGTGTATTATGCGGTGACAGACGGAATAGGTGAATGCAGAGACGGTGTGCACTTATCCTCGACATCTTACGATCGCGTGATTATTGCGAATAACCAGGAGCATTTCGAGCGTGATACACGTCATACGATAAGAATAATGCACGAAATTAAATTTTGCTGCATTCAAATTGGATACAATCGCAAGTCAGATCAGCTACATAATTTTTAGTTAAATATCTTAATGATAGAGCTGGAAACAAAAAGTTGAAGTTTTATTAAAAACTCATTAATTTTTATATCTATAATTGATATTCAATAGTTTACCGATTTGTATATTTAACTGACATTTGATAATTTTTACATTAAAAATGGTAGAGACTGAAACGTATTGTATATTTCGAATATTTGCCATATAATTTTTAGTATTAAAACCTGAGTATTAGAACCTCGGTTCGTTAACGTAAAATCTAGCTATTATTTCGTGCTTTCATTTGAATTTTATTCAAGTTTTTTATTTAGAATTACACAGAAAATAAGATTTTATCCGCGTTCGTTGGTGAAAAAGGGTAGTTGCAGTTATACGAGATCCAGTTCTATCGAGTCTCTAATTTAGTCGAGCTCGACATGCAAAACGGCAATACAATGTATATGCTGGTACTATATCTCGAAATGCGATGTCCTATGTACAGATCGAGTTCATCGACATGTAGCCACTTCTGTGCGTAATCGATAGTGTAGGGTCTCCTACGAATAGAATTGTAATGCGCATCACAACACCGTCCGCATCACAAACCTCCGACCGGTATCGATCCTATGACCCGAGGAAGGCCTCACAAACGAAGAGCCACGTTTCTCTATTTGCTCAATTGAATCCAAGCAAATATGCGGTAAAGCTACGCACTCGTGCGGAAGGGCAAAGGAAAAAAAAATGCACGTACATGCATAACTTTCAAAGACCTGTGTGTGTGTGTGTGTGTGTATGCGCGCGCGCGAAATCGAAGATAATTTAACGAAAAACTCGTCTAGATATTATTAATTTATATATAGATCGATATTTATAGTCGGATCTTATATTTAAAGTTCTTATTTCAAGACCGTTTTAAGTCGTGTCTTAAGACGTTACTGCGGCCCTCTGATTGGTTCGTGACATCTCAAGACTGAACTTAAGACGTCTTGAATATAAGAATTGACTATGAATATACCGGCTCAGTTTCACAACTCGTGCTTTACTTTTAATTGAGATTTATAACTTATTCCCCATCTTTTTCTAATGCTAGAATTGGAAAGAGATGAGAATTATATACACTATAGATCAGACCTGTCCAATTTGAGCGCCGAAGCAAAAAAATCTAATGTGAATAAGATTTCATAGATTGTAAACTTTACAGTCTTTGAAATCTTACCTATATTGATTTTCTTACGTCAGCGGCTGTGCTTTTCGGCTTCGGAGCTCAAACAACTGGACAGGCCTGCTGTAGGTATATCGCAGACCAAACACGATCGCCGCCCTCAAGATCCCCGGTCATCTTCCGTTCATTCGAACTTCGAACTGGTCATCGAGGTTGAAACCAGCGATACCGGGTTACAAGTTCACACGCTTTCCGGGTCGTTGTTCATCGTATACGCGCACGCACGTACAAATCCGACGGCTTATCGCCGGGGATAAGTGGGAGCACGTGCTGGTGCGCGGGGGGGGGGGGGGGGGGTACCTACCCCCTACTTTCAATTGGACAGCCGCCCTGCGGCCTCATCCTCGCCCTTTCTTTCCTCGCTCCGATGAGCGTGTGTCGAACGTCCGTTCGTTATTTTTAGGACGCGGGGCACACGCGGCGCGGCGTGCCAAAGGGAGAGGAAGTCGTATTTCTAACCTTCCAGTATCTGCTCTATTATTAGTGAACGCTGGAGAGGTAGACTGGGACTTAAACTGGGTTTCCGTTTGATTTTAAACACCGCGCGTTCAACGGAGGAGCACCTCTCCAGGCGTTTTGGCTCTCGCCACTGCTTGCTTCGCTCCTCTTTTTTTCTCTTTCCCTCAGCCCTTGTTTCCTTTCTCTATCGTACGTTTTCAGAGCGCGCACGTTCCTCGCACGATGGTTTCATCCGTATAAATACGACGACCGTATATCCGCAGATTTGTTTACGGCCGCGCTTACCTATTAGTCGTACTATTTCAACCGTGCGTTTCAACCTCTCGAATGCTATTAGTGAACGTTAGAGTTATACCCGCCGGGATTACCGTGTGTGTTTCTGAATATTTTTTCGGAATATTGACGAATGTGGGGACATTGGAGACGCTGTAATTGTATCAGGAGGCTGAATGTAATTCCGATCTGAGAATCGAATGTCCCTTTATGACTACAAATGACTACAAATTTGACACTGGACCGTTAATGCACTATTATGTAAATTTCCCATACGGTTCTCTCGTTTCTCATCCTCCGATTATGTAAGAGGATCATCGTTCCACGAAACGTAATGACGATAACCATGAAAATTATTGTTATATGAATCTCTCAGATGGGTATTTTAGCACTTCTCACGGTCGGGACGCGTGTTGCCGGCTCTTTTAGCTCTATAAAATCGAAACGTCCTAGGTCAGGGACGCGTAACCTACGCATCCGGTTCAGACGTGTGCATTTTCACTGTCGTCGAAAGGCATGCAGATTACGGCCGTCTACGGAGGACGGAAAATTATCAGTGATATTTATACGCGGCCGGAGAACGTGACGTTAAATTTATATGATTTCGCGCATGGTGAAATGAGAGTCGCGGATATGACCGTGAAGAGATTTCACAGAATTACACAAACTGGTGGCGTAACTGGACGCGCGCCGTGAAAAGAACGGAAATCTAAACGCACGATATCCTCTTTTTTTTTTTTTCGATCTTTAAAACGCGAGTCCAAGTAACGCTGTGATAATCAAAATGCCTTAAAACCTGTTTCCAGCAATGTAGATTAACTTTAATCTCGAATCTGCACTTGCTCTTCATCTTTTTCCAGTTACA